GAAGTTGCTTGCTGAAGTGAACTGAATCGAACTGCATAACTCGGTTCTGGAGTCGCTCCCTTTTATACGCCGGTCGGTGGGGCGGAGCCAAACTCGAAAGTGAGGAGGAAGAATTGATTGGCTAGCGCGCGTTATGACGTATATGCGGGCCAGGAGCGATCCCAGTATAAATATGAACGTTTGAAGCAATCTGGTTGGTTAGCGCGCGTGATGGTGAAAAGTGATGTGAAGAGCGAGCGTTGCAGAAATGCGTGATAATGTGGGATGTTCCCACAGGATATTTTGTCCTGTGCTATAGTCTTGAATTAGCTGTGAGGTAATCGGTTGCTGTGTAAGGAAGTGATCAAGGAAGCAGAGGATTTCAAAAAGATAAATCAACAATATCAGCGTGTCAGTCGTTTATTGGGAAGATACAAGAAGCTTTGGATAAGAAATTATTACCAGTGGGTATTTTCTTTGATTTAACAAAGGCTTATGATGTTATTAACCATGATATTTTGTGTGAAAAATTAGAGCATTATGGGATAAGAGGGCAAATTGATGCCTGGCTAAAATCATATCTAACACTGAGGGCATAATATGTGGATTTAATTTCTAAGGGCAACAGGGACTGTATGACTCATTTTAATTCAAAAATAAGGAATGTAAAGGTAGGGATTCCACAAGGGTCAACCTTGGGCCCGTTTTTGTTTTTGATTTACATGAATGACCTACCCCTCCATATAACTAATGGGGAAGTGGTGCTATTTGCAGATGATACCAGTATACTGGTAATAGAGAAGAACAAAAGTATTCTTCAAGACAAAATAATAAGGTAATGAAGCAACTCGAATCTTGGTTTTCAATGAATAATATGGTAATAAATAACGAGAAGACTACAGCAATGTATTTCCATATGAATAAACTACAAGATAGCATTGAGCCAGTAATTACCTTTAAAAATATAATAATTAATTATACAGCACAATTTAGGTTTCTTGGTATTAATTTAACCCACAAATTAAAATGGAACATTCATATTCAGTCAGTCTGTACAAAGCTCAGTAGGGTGTGTTACATTATTAAAGCTCTGAAAGGCAAAGTAAGCCCATATGTCCTTAGGAATGTGTACTTTGCTGTTCCAGTCTCAAATAAGTTATGGTTTGATATTTTTTTTTTTTGGGGGGGGGGGAAAGTGAAAGTAAAAAAATTCTGATTTTGCAAAAAAGGGTTCTTCGAATAATGAAAGGGGTAACAAAAAGAACATCATGTAGACCTATATTTAGAGAATTAAAAATTTTAATGGTAACATCTTTGTATATTTTAGATGTGTTACGTTATTTCAAGAAATATAACATTTACAGCACAAAAAAACTCTGATCTACATAAGTATGACACGAGAAAGAAAGAAGACCTTCACGTGCAAAGTTATAATACCTTAACATATGAGAAGGGTGTTACAAATATGGCTATTAAGCTTTATAATAGACTGCCTTTGGAACTAAGAATGGTAAAAGCAGATAGAGAATTCCTACATAGACTCAAAAGGTATCTACTGGAACACCCATTGTATAATTTGCATGAGTTCCTCTCAGAAGGACAGTTAAACAAATAAGATTCTCCTTGATAAATAGATTTAAGTATAAACAAAATGACTGGTAATTAGGTGAAGTTTTAAATATGATTTAGCCTATAAAGGGGATGGAAGTCTTAAATGAGATTGCACTCCAAATTATTTAATCATTATCTAAATTGAATTTTATCTTTTGTGGATTATTTTGATATAATAGGTTTTAAGTTTAAGAATATGGTGGTAATTAAGGTATAGTATATAGTAAGATGACCTTGTTTTTTATAATGGAAGGTAGTCGTAAATTTGATTGTACCTAATATATATATTTAATTATACCGAGAGTGTGATTTTAATTTTAATTGAATGTTATGTTATGTGATATATGATGATGTTGAATCGATTGGGCAGGAGGCCAATTAGACTGGAAAAGTTGTATATGTATGTGACTTGTTCGAGAGTTACAATTTGTAACTGTGATGAATGTTAAATAAAATTATTATTATTATTATTATTATTGGAATCAACGTTTTTACTGAATTTAANCATCATCATCAACATCATCATCATCATTATCATCAATTGTTGAGAGCCACTACCAGGCAGTGGCTGGTGACAATACAAAAGACTTCATATGTGCTGCAGTAATTATCTGTACAGTGCATATGTCTATGAAACTCTTGTAGTTACCTGTAGTTACGAGTTATAAGAGACCAATAAATCTAATTACCAATCCAGTCGCTTCTCTAGTCAATAACAGGTGACAGTACTATATCTCATAAATGCTGCACTTAAAGAATGCACCAGAAAACAATACATGAACACCGAAAACCTTAGACTGGTTGACAGTGTCGATGCCATTATTGAAAATGTGGAGCTAATGTAGGTGGCTTTCTCTTTGCAAATAGCTTTAGTACAGGAATGTACATAACAGATGTATCTAGTGCACAAAGTACACAGAATTATTGAAAATTACTGAGTAGATGGAAGAGAATGGAGAAGCTTTGCTATGGGTAGACATTGCTACTATGATGCTCACATTTAGCTGAGTTAATAAACTTCAGACATAAATGTCAACCCTGTTCACAATGGCTCAAAGTAAACACCTTTCCATTGTTCAGAACAAGATTGACCCAGCTTAACCAAATATTGCCCAAAAGCCCAAATTACACATCCTTCCATTTTCTGGAACAATAGCTGGATTATGCATCCTTCCACCTTCTAGCACAAAGCCAACCCAAGCTGCCCAATAACTTGAGTTATGTGGTCTTGCTTTTCTAGAGGAAGCGCAGGACAAAGTTACAAATGTAACATTTTTAAAAGACAAACGAGGCTTAAATTGTAGTATAACCCAAAGAGAAGTCAGTGCACTTGCTGTGCACCCCACTACAGTATGCAACATGTACTAACTTCATCCACATAACAAAGATTCCCTGACTACAGTGACTCTGAAGAGCACAGCCAAAGCATAATTTAGAATACTATGTGGTACCAATCCCCATCTCCATAAACTCATATAATAGAGCCCTGACATGCATCTTCCTTTTAGTCCCATGTCAAAAATGGACTGAGAGTTGAGACCACGTTAAGAAATCTCCAGTTCAAGAAAGACAGGAAGGGCTTGGGTTCGTAAATGGGCATCACCTGACTCACATGCCAGCTACACTGAGATCAGGGAGAGGAGATATCATCATTATGTAAGAAGGAAAGTAGAACCTAATCAACTGAGTTAGCAAGATCATAAGGACAAGGAAACTTAGCAAATATCTCATAATGCACCTTTGGATAACAATGATAGGCAATCTGAAAATGAAGTCATGAAAGTAGGAAAACAAATTTTACTACTACTAATGGTTTTTGGGTAGTTCTTGANCACATGCCAGCTACACTGAGATCAGGGAGAGGAGATATCATCATTATGTAAGAAGGAAAGTAGAACCTAATCAACTGAGTTAGCAAGATCATAAGGACAAGGAAACTTAGCAAATATCTCATAATGCACCTTTGGATAACAATGATAGGCAATCTGAAAATGAAGTCATGAAAGTAGGAAAACAAATTTTACTACTACTAATGGTTTTTGGGTATTTCATGAAATGTTGATTGATTGATCAGTAACTGTCAGATGACAGGTCCACAGTCTCTTCCAAAACAGTTCCTCCACTTAATGTGATCTTCTGTTTTTGGAAAGAGACTGTCCAGGAAAAGTGATAATGTGGTAGTTTTTCCATTTGCTTTCCACATCGCAGTACAACAGCCGTTCAAACCACTCTGGTCACGCCTGTTGCTATACGAACTTGAACCATCTCGAGCATCATTTGTTCTGTGCTTCAAGTCGCTGCTGATGACGCTGCTTCCGGCATCAGTTTTTGGTTTTTGGTGTCTCTCTTCGTCTGATGCCTACCCTTTGACCTGTCCAGCAAGGGAGGCCCTGCCAGTAGCTACGCTACCGCTGGTATAGCTCTCAGGGTCCTTGGCATACTCAAACCCCCTCACCACGATAAGGTGGAGACGAGGGGGCTTGAAATGTTATGCAAAGATTAATACCATAATTCACAACCAGAAGGATGTGAGCTCCTGGCACTTGATATAATGAACATACTGGTGGATCATGATAAAAACTCTGGTTTTGAGATTCTCTGGCTTACAAAAAACATGAATATTACTCTGACTTTTGCACACAAGAGAAAAGTAGAATAAGAAAGAAATTTTCTGCTATTACTATTGCAGTGCATGATGTAAATGGAGTATATATATTTTTACCCATTGTGTTTTGCAAATAATTTTTCCGTTGTCAGGGAGTTCTTATGCAAGCCACTGGAAACAGTTAAAAATTTGCAGAATTATTTAACTACATACACGACGGCTAACAATGTATATGCTGCAGTGTTAATTTATACTATAAATTATTTAAAGATCTATATTAAAATTTTTCAACGTTATTTCATTTCATGTTGTTACATCTTCTTATATGTCATCTTGAAATGTAGTTTGTGACAGAAATAAAAATTTTTTAGATTTTTTTTTTACTATAGCTTATATTCATTTGGATGCTCGGATCGGAACACAACATTCAATGTTGTGTTCCGATAATATACAAGTACTATAACATAATTCTAAATAATAGGTTGAGCATGAAACCAGTTCTTGTAGGTGGAGTTGATGCTTCTTCTTTGTCGGGCTGTATTGGAACAGAAAATTATAATTGTACAAAAAAATAATGAGGATCTTTAAAGAGTGAAAAGAAATGGCAATACCAATAGCATCTCTGGGATTGGCAGCAAATCTCCAAAAAGGACTCTTAACTTATCACTTGTTTGTTTGTAATCGCATGTAAAATAGATATGAGAACATTTTGCTGATACGCAATTGAAGCAAAAACGTTAGTCACTGCAAACTTCTTCACTAAGCAGTTACAGCTTCCTAAAAATTATTTTTATTATACTCTTTTTTTTTTATATGTTACATTTGTTTCTTACTTCTAGTTGCGTCCTCGTGGAGTTATATGCCGAGATGCAGTCAATGAATGTGATTTACCAGAACACTGTTCAGGAGAGGATGGAAAGTGTCCAATGGATGTTCATAAAAAGAATGGAAATCCATGTGGAGCAAACACAGGTTACTGTTTCAATGGTATCTGCCCTACAGTCAATATTCAGTGTGGACTAATTTGGGGATATGGTGAGTTACTGGATACATGTTTACATAAAGAAAGTAGATTATGTAAGATTTGAGGCTTTCACGGCAGTGACTATGAAGAAAGCAGTCTTCTGGGATTTGGCACCGTGTATATGTGGTGTTAACCGACGTTTCGGAGGAACGTATCGCCTCCATCTTCAGGGTAGAAGAAAAAATATAAGAAATCTGCAAGTGAAGAGACCGTGAGAACCGGTACAGTCTGCTTTTACCGGTTCTCACGGTCTCTTCGCTTGCAGATTTCTTATATTTTTCTTCTACCCTGAAGATGGAGGTGTTACGTTCCTCCGAAACGTCAGTTAACACCACATATACACGGTGCCAAATCCCAGAAGACTGCTTTCTTCAAAGTAGATTATGACTGGAATAGAACTTTATTCTATGCTTTTTACATTTGTATTTTAAGAAGTATAATGTTTTTGCTAATATTCTTAAAAGTAGTACACTTGCCAGATCTTCATCACCAATAGTATATATATTTTGAAGGGGGAATGATTTTATGAACAGCAAAAATGTGGAGATGACACAAAATATTACATATATTTTTACATTTGGCTTCTTCTCTTCCTCTCCTTCAGCTTGTCATCATTTTGTTTTATATTCTTGTTGCAGATATTGACACTAAAATGTTACTTTTGTAGACACTGACTTGCTCAGTTATGTAGAATGGAATTCAATTGTCTGGGTGCTGTTGTGGGTACAGCAGTCTTTGCCCACACACCTGTATGATCAGATTTTGTATGGTTAATGCTTTCACTGCCATGGGCAACAAACTTTCACGACACAGAAAAGTTAACTGTATTTTATGATCTGAAATATCGGAGTAAGTGCGTATGATTTTGTGGCAACAACAAATTACAGTGTAAAATTGCAACTGTAAATTGAGCTCTAAAGATAAAAGGAGAGAAATATACTTGTATCTGCCAGAATGAAATTTTACTGTCACAAGTATCAGTGACTAAATAGGGGGTTCAGATTGGTAATTGGATTTATTGGGTACTTACAGGTTGTAACTACAAATAATTGTAACACTTTTACTGATTTCACACTACAAAACACTCCATGCTAATCTCTTCAGTCTATCTCTAATAGTCTTCACGGATTTATAATACAGGAACTATGAAAGTCTCCCCAAATCACACATTGCATACATGTTGTTCCAATGTTAAAAATTATTTTAATAACTTCAGATCTCCAGTCGTCAGGTATTTGCTCTTCAATGCAGCAAGTGTGTAGAATTTATAAATATCAACTCACTTTTATATGAGACATAGTTAGCTCTGCATTAATTCCATCACTGTCAGTAGCTTTTATATTTTTCATCCCCTTTTAGAAGTAGTTGTGGTACATTTATTTTTGTTAGGATTAAAATCAAAATTTAAATACCAGTAATGTTGAAACACTTCATTGAGAACAATCCTGAACCAGTTAAATCAATTTCACGTTAAAATCTGCTTCATTATTATCTTCCCATCTTTTCAATATTTCAGATGGCCACCTTCTATATGATTTTGTCACCTAACTTCTTTTCACACATCCTGTCTCTACCATTTTGGGGAAAGATAACCTCTCTCCCTCATCACCATCATAATCTTAGTTGCTGAATATTGTTGAAAATGGAGAAGAATAAAACTTTTGTTCAGTGAGGAATATGTATGGCTGTGTGCTTGTAAAAATTTCTAGGTCACAGTATCCCAGTATGCCGGACATCTTCACTGTCTAACTTTTAAAGTATTCACAAAAGTGAAGAAAGTAAGGGTACTGCAAGATAATAATCTCTGTATACAGCTACACTTACAAGTAAATATAAAAATGAAAAATGGAAATATAAAAGCAGGCTCTTTGATTGCATATTAGGATTATGCCTAATTGTAAAGAACTATATTGAAATAATTATTTTTTATTAAAGTTGCATGATTGTTTCAGGTGGAATTGCTGGTGATAAGCAATGTTTCGACCAGTTCAATTCTAAAGGTTCAATAAATGGACATTGTGGTGTGGACGGTAATGGACAATATATCAAATGTGATCCAGAGTAAGTATTATGGTCAACAGCGATTGCTTCTATCCTGGTATGAGAGTTCAAATTATTTCAAATTGCATAACATGATCATATCAGTTCTCACCTGTAGTACTGTCTATATGCTGCTGTAGTGCTCCATAACCATTGTATGAGTTCTATGTACAAAGTGCTTAAAATGAACACCGAAAGGGAAGGCTGTTGTCCATCTGTCCATTGACTCTCTGTTTAAACTGTGGAAATATTGGATGAGTTTCAGTGAAATTTCTCAGAACTGATTAATCATATAAACAGTGTGTACATAACAAAATGTTAGTTTCGTTATGGTCTTGAAAGTTCATTTGAAGCATTTCTATATTTAATGGAATAAAGGAAAATAATTAGTAACTGTATGTGCTATGAACACTTTTCAGCAATACAGCATATTTCTATCTACAGCATGAAAGAACTGACTCTTGGCATTCATGCATTATTCTTATTACTCACTAATTACCACTGACTACTTACTGCATGCAACCTCCTCAGCTTCCTTTCTTCTAATTATATGGCATTGGAAGAAGAGAATTGTGACTGTGTAAACTTCTGTGGCCTGACTTTCCACCACCACTTAACTTTACATGGCAATAGCTGTACTTTTGCTAAGGTGGTCTCAGCATATTAGATTGAAATGCCTGAAGGAAATTAGATAATATAAGTTCTTTCCAGGACTTCTCTCAAGCTGCAGATTATTTTAGTACTCTACTGCTACACAGAGCACATGATGTTGCAATAATGCTCTGGACTTATACATACAGGGTGATTCACAAAGTTTTACCCCGGCTTATGGTGCATATTCCTGGGGTTATTTCCTGCAAAATTTCCTTATAAACTTGTGGTCGATTTTCAATTGTTATGGAGTAACAATGGATTTT